CCAGCAGAGCTAGCCAATGAATGCCCCCCATTGTCCTACTGTGAAGTAGGGTGGAATAGGGCTGTCAGGGGACCCATACCAGCTACCTAATCAGCACTGAGGAAAAAAAATAGTTTGCTGAAAAATGGGGGACACTTTTTACCAACTTTGATATGTGGGAGAAAAAGGTGTGCAACAAATGATGTGATCCTTCATGAGATTATGTTTTAAATGATCTGTAACATCTGATTAGGGTGAGATTAGGGTTAAAATGATGTATATACACCCCTTATTTTGACCAGATTCCATTGTCTTCAGGAGTATCGAGATGCATCAAACCTTTCTGGAATGTTCCTAGTGTGTTTGACATTAGGGTGTGAGGCAGCAAGCTATACCTATACATGGGTATTTCGAGCTTTACCTGTAGCTCACTGAAGCACTTTTTTGTTCACTAGACTAGGTGTTTGTGGCTGAAGTGTTGCTCCTGGACCTGGCAATGGTCTTAATGTTTTTGGCCAAACAAGAATAGCTACATATTCATATCCAGACAGTTCAGTACACACTATAAATAGTTTGTTTCAACATGGCACCTTGTCTCTTTTCTGGAGAGAAATGATGGCTTAATGCTGAACTATGATAGAAAACATGTGGCTTTTAACCTCTCCTAAGCAAATCAGTCTGGGAGTTCAGAAAGGGGACACAGATTTGCATTATAGCTGTGACAGCTTGAGCATTTGGAATTATGATTTTTTGGTCTTTCTTTTAATCCTAGTATCAAAAATCATTCTATTTCCCCAGATTCCCCACTTTAGAGATCTAGATTTTGGAATCTCCTTCCCAGTACTGAGAGGGTGGACATAAAACATTCCAGAACAGTTACATTAGTATTTCAACTTTTCCAAAGCTGATGGTTTAAATGAAAAATTGGATTTAAAATTGGACACAATGCATGCATTATAATACACTATATCCATGAAGTCACCATAAATTGTTACATTTCTTCTACTGATGGAACAGAAGATGCAATTATTTTTCTCTCTCTGACAAGAGGACATGGCATGTCCCCAAAACACCACATTTTTAGGAGAAGGGATGGGAAATCTGGCAATGCAAACCTTCGCTTTTTCATATAGTAGCTCCAACTACACATGACAGTAGAGACATTTGCTGAAGAGTGCTTAACGCCATCGTTTTCATGTAGAAAGAAAAGTGGTTGATTGGGTGAGAAGAGACAATTCAGCAAGTTATTAGTAATAATGTATTTAATATTTTGCATTTTTACTGTAGCATTTTTGTATTTATTTTAATCTGTTCCCCAAAGTTAGGATATACTGTAGCAACCAGAGTGTTGCAAAATGATGGGGCATGTTATTAGATGGAAAAGGGAGCAATCATCACTTGACTAATCTTACTTGAAGAAAGGCAAACACTGTCTATTCCTGCTTACCATCTCTCTTGGTGGCACAGCAGGGAGGATTTAGTTCTATGGGCAGAATCCCCCAAATGGTGAATTTTGAACAAGTAAGGAGTTGAAATGCCTGCTGTCTCAAAGTATGCTACAGCGTCCAGAGAGAGGGGGTGTGTGTGTGTTAAAAGCAGAGATGGCTCTCCTCATGCACTCTTTCTGCAGAGCACCCTGGACCCAACACTGCTGCATTTCCTCAAAAATGTGCAAGAGGGAGGGATTAGGAGTAGCTACTGCCTTCTCTTGTTTTCTCCCCCTCCACCCCACTATTCCCAGAACCATATCACAGAATATGTCTGTGTGTGAGAGAAGTATTAGCTGGAAGACTTGGGCATGTGGTAGGTGATGCTTCCTCCAGTCTCTAAACTGCCCTCTTTCTTTTGAACCCTACTTGTTTGTATAACTCAACTCTGAAAGAAGTGTTTTCCAACAGAGTCAGCAAGGAAAATGTGGATTCTTCTTGGAGTAGTCGATCATAACCACAGGTGGTGTGATGGCTTTAGCTAGTTGGACCCAATCTCCACAACTATTCAGGGTAGAACATTAAAGGACATTAAAGAAAATATGCATTCCCTTCCCTCTTTCCCTTCCTAAAATAAGGTTTTCCCAGAGGTATGTGTCTCAGCAATCAGATTTACAAACTGAACTATTTTTCATTAACTGAAAGTGTTAGTTATCAATCTTTTCCAAATATGTGTTTTATACAAATGGCAGGTTTATTTGTGTCAGCAGTAGTCAGTTTTTTTTTAAAAAAAAGTCAATTGTTTGGGGGCAAATGCAGTTAATTAAATTTTTGTAACATTCATTTTGTGTTTTTAACATAATGTTGTGACACTTGCATTACACATTACATCATCAAACCACTATTTTTATGGTAGGAGGATTTGCTTGAGATTTCCCCAAGAAATTAATTACACCATTGAGGAAAGACTTTAGCTCATCAAGCAGTTATCTGATTAAGTTCCAGACTATGTGAGACAGATGCCTCTAGGTATATGCAGAGTGCCACCACCCCAAAAAGCAAATGATGTGTGTCTGGGATTTTTAGTTATCTTAGTTACAACATTTAGACTTACAGGTTTTCCTTCAGTAGTGAAGTCTGTGTGTTTCTGTATTTATACATTTATTTTTATCATCTGTGCACAAAGCAAATGCATAAAGTGAGTTTGGGAGAGTTAATTTTTTTTAACTGGACAGACATCAAAGACAATTAAGCTGAAACCACACTTTCTGCATGGTGTAGAAGTGAAAGCCATTTTAAAAATTATTTAAATTGTGTTTTGCTCTACTACAGCGCTGTCTAGTCTTGTATACATCCACACAGAATTGTTGTTGTTGTTGTTTAGTTATTGTCGCGTCCAACTCCTCGTGACCCCATGGACCAGAGCACGTCAGGCTCTCCTATCTTCCACTGCCTCCCAGAGTTTGGTCATATTCATGTTGGTAGCTTTGATGACACTGTCCAACCATCTCATCCTCTGTCGTCCCTCGCTCCTCTTGCCTTAACACTTTCCCAGCCTCAGGGTCTTTTTCAGGGAGTCTTCTCTTCTCATGTATTGGAGCCTCAGCTTCAGGATCTGTCCTTCCGGTGAGCACTCAGGGTTTTTTCCTTCAGAATTGATAAGTTTGATTTCCTTGCAGTCCAGGGGACTCTCAAGAGTCTCCTCCAGCACCACAATTCAAAAGCATCAATTCTGGTTAAGCAAAATAGGCTTGTAATCTTTTTCAGATCACATTATTTTTTAGATCAAATTCCCTTCACACTATATAGTGTTTTCCTTTATTTGCTATATATATAGTAAAGAAAGGCAAACACTGTCTTCTGCTCACCCTCTCAGTGGCACAACAGGGAGGATTTAGTTCTATGGATAGAATCCCCACTCTATCTATCTATCTATCTATCTATCTATCTATCTATCTATCTATCTATCTATCTATCTATCTATCTATCTATCTATCTATCTATCTATCTATCTATCTATCTATCTATCTATCTA